GCGTCGTGTTGTTATATAATACAATCTCAGAGGGTTTTGATAAAAATAAAAAGAAAATGTGAGGGAGACGAGAGAAGGCGTTGAACTCGTAAGAATAATCAGCATGTCTTTTTTAGTGTTAAAAATAAGCGATTGGGCAAAACGTGAAGTTTTTGATCTCTGGAATTCGTGCGTGTCAAGTAAAGCGTGTTTGTTTTTGCTCACAACCGATATAAAGATATCTTTGACCTTATCTATACGATGATTAACATTGATCGGTTTACGCAGGAGTTGAGAAACGCAGTCTCGGTCACTCGACTTTTGACCTCTCGCATCCCCCTTCGAATGTGCCTGATTCTCAATCCCCTTGTGCGCAATTACCTGGCTATCTGCCTTGAATTCGCCGTGTTCTTACAGCGATACGAAAAAGGGAAAGTTAGATAATCTTGAATTTGATTGGCATTGACTTTGCCAGGTTCTTTTCATGTTCTGTACAGTATGAAAAAGAAAGGATCACTTTTAATCACATTAACATTAACTTTGTCATATGCTTTCAATATTCTATATCGATTATTATAGGATAAAGAAAAAAATTTAATCTATCTTCCGTAACTTTGCCTTCCGTTTTGTATCGATATTGTATGAAAAAGGAAGAAAGAGTAGATCCCATGAGAAATTTTAATGCGGTATATGATATCAAATAATCAGTCCAACGTTATCGTATATTATTAATTAATTTCTACTTATGGTACGGCCACAAATCTGAGATATGTTTTGTAAATTATGTATAATTACTTTAGGTATATTTCGTAAATTATGGCGTCACTGAACGTAAAGCGATCGTGAACAAAGCCCAAAGAATATTAGTCGAACAGCAGCCTCGATATCCAAACGCGAACCTTGATTAACGCGCGGAGCTGCGCCGAAATTACAGTGGTCTGCAATTATTATCCTAGCTAAGCGCGATGGTGGCGAACGCGTCAGAGCGCGGCGAATCCTCGTTTTAAGTACCGATAAGCGATCGTAATCCTCCAGAGCCTCCCAGCAAACGAAGACGGAAGAGAGCACGGTGGCGATGTCTCTTGGAAAACTGAAGCGCGCTATATTCACGGCTGAGCCGCCACTCGGGACAGGGTCTCGCAACCTTTCACCTCATTTTACCCTCGCGCGACCAGGTGGCGGATAAGCACGCGATCCGCCGGTTGAAGAGCACTGGTCCCAGAAGGGAGGAGAAGAAACGAGCGGGGCCACACGTTCGAGAACCCCTTCGGAACGGGTGGCAGCCCACATAGTCGCCTCACACAGGTGAGGCCGATATCGACCTGACGCCAGAAATACCGCGCAGCATCGACCGTCGCCGTCGTCGTTATACCTGGTCTCGCTCTCCCCCGCCTGCCACCCTTACCCGCCGTCGTCGTCACCCCCGGAGGGTGCCAGCGTCCGCGTACAGTCGATGGTGGAGGGTTTGGGGGCTGACGCACGGCCTCGCCGCCGCCAATCCCTGGATCCTGGTGGTCGCGGCTGCGCCCTGCCGTGTTTTCCGCAGCGGAACCGCCGCCGACGCCGACGTCGCTGCCGCTACCGCGACGGCGAGAGAGGGCGCCGCGGCGACCCGGTGGCGGGGAGGACTACGAGGGCAGACGTTCCAAAGCCACCCCGACGGAGAGACACGCCGAGACACCCCTGCCATTGGGAGTCCTTCGGTCTTAGTAAGTATCCCGGCCGATCTCTCGTTCCTTGCTCTGTATTCTCGTATCATTCCTTTCTCTCGCTTGCTCTTCTCGCTTCCGCCTTTTCCTTCGTATTTCCGGAGGTATACGCGTTCGTGGAATTTCCGGGGGATTCTGGTGCGTGGCTTCCGAGTTTGTTTGGCAGAACTCGGTAGTCTCCGATATGACGATTCGAATTAGAATCTCGTATAATTTATAAATGTTTTTTTTTCTCTTTTGATTCGATGTTCGTTGAATGATGAAAAGTTATCTCCGTGAAAACCTGAATTTGAAAAGATTTATGTTGAAACGACGATAACCATTGAGGCATGCAATGCTTCCGGCCTTTTCGATAATCTCGTGTTTATACTGATTTCTTGATGTTTATACTGATTTCTGATTTCGTGAGATTCAATCGAATTCTCGAAGAGAATTAATAGAATAATAGAACTCACGCTCGTGCACAATTTTTCTTCACGCTTTTCTCCTTCACGCTTTGCTTGAATAACATGTAGACTGACCGAAGAGAGCTGAAAATATATATTATATATATGATATTGATTTTCAATTAGTTGTTCTGCAATTTTTCTTTTGAATCTATCTTGATTTTTCGAGATAAACCTGTTACATTTTAGCGCCATTAAAAATTTTATTTGAAAATTGAGAAAAAGTAACATGAATAACACTCTGCAGCTAATATCTCTGTCTTTTACTTTAGATTTGTATCTATTATTACAGTTTATAATGCTAACAATATTATAAACTAATATTATATTATAAAGTTGATTTGCAATACATTTTAAATCACAAAACAAAGATTTTTACTTTGCTACTCATTATAAGGTATAATTGCATTTTTGCATAAAATATAATAAAAGTGACAAGATTGAAAATTAGAATTTAAAAAAATGGCATAATTTTTTCGTATTAGTTTGAATTCTCCAACGAAAAATGTTGTTTGTCGTGTAACGCGTGATCAAATTGACGCTAAGGAAATCCTAGACTTACGGTTGAAATTTGCGATTACAAAAGCGACGCGAATAATAAGGGATATTGCTGAACCCCTCCTGCAAACAACGGCGCACGAAATAACACGTGGCTGTCAAATAACTATATTGCGATGCGACGATGTGGGGGAGTAAAAATTACCTTGGGAAGTTACGCACGTGTGTAATGCCCGGTCTTCCTCAAATGTGCACAGTATAAGAGACTCGAATGTTATAGATAGATGCAGAAACGCTAAATTTAACTTGCCCATTGGTATAACGTGTACATAAGATAATAGAAAGGTTAGTAAAAATTGTGTCGAACGTATACATATATACGAGAGGATATGAATATGTAGAGTAAAAGCGATGTTGCCTCACGCGCGATTGCGCGGGTTAAAAATATGATGATAATGATGAATTTCAACTCGAAGGTTGACGGATTCTCCCTTTGTTTTATCCTTAAATCAATATTCCTCTACAAAAGAAGGAGGGGGATAAATCATACATCTTTACAGGTATAAGCCTATCGTATAATTCATGTAAAATTCGTTTCGATCGGATTTTTATGATGGAAAGGAATTATTTAAATGTGCCTCTCCTTTGTTTGATAGACAATGCCTGAGGATCAAACGCCATGACGTTGAAATAATGCAAACGTCGCAGATTCATCAGAGACAATGCTATTCTTGCATCAAATTTATGATGTTTTTACATACATTTTCTTTCTCGGGAATATATACTCGTATATATATATTTTATTTTTTTTTTTTCTCGAAATAATAATTCATTATTGCTATTAATCGTTCACAAATTAACCACGTAGATGCTATCGCTGTTGCAGGCTCAGTTGTGAACTCAGCTGAAAAGGTGGAGGGCCTGGGGACGCGGGGAGCCAAGGAGTCGGTGAACGGCTCGAAGGACGAAGACGGATCGGACGTCGCTTCAACTCTGAGCGGCCTGCTCGCCGGTCTTCCGACCTTGGCGGGCCCCCAACGCCTCGCCAATTCCCTTAGGCAGAAGTTCGCCAGTAACTCCGGTGAGTCGATGAATCGTTTTTACGTGCGGCGTGTGTCGTCGGGGAGGCTCGCGTTCCAAGTCCGCCTATCGATCACATCCGTGACGACGATCGACAGGCGTCGTTTCGCGAACGCGAGAACTATCGTCTCGAAATCGATCGCCCCCTACAATCCTGCCTCGGATTAAATGTTACATATTGTATTGTTGCACGGGTTTACGAGATCGATACCTTTTTATTTTACATTCACGAAAGCTTTCGACGAATCGGAATAATAACAGAGTATATGAATAATGAAGTCGAGCACGCGGCAAATCAGATTAGGTAGATATTTAATCCAGATTTTGCGGCAAATTGTCGCGTTCCTGAAAAAAATGCTAAGTGCACTTTATATTAATTGCACTTACCAACTTTTCCCGTCGGCTCATGAGAGAGATGTGGCTCTAGTTTCTTTCTACTGCCCCCGATCCTTTCGAGAAACATCCATTATTTTACTACACTCTTAAAGTATAATTTCATAGAAACTACCATTTTCCATCGTGCTCTTGCACTGTTCTCTTAATTAATCTAAGAAAAAAAAACCGGAGAAAATGACCAAAAGAATTTAAAGACATTTATGAACAGTATTTAAAAGAGGAAAATGCGTATTTTTTTCTCATATATAAAGTATCTTAATAATTTAATGCTAATTTTTTCATTTTTGGTATAAATGACAGTAGATTATGAAAATTGGAATAATTAAATTTTAGATTATGGAAATTTAGGTAATTAAAGTTTTATAATTACACAATAGTGTAACTAGAGATCTTCTTTTACTTAGAGAAATAAGAAAATGAAAATATAAATAATACATTTATTAATCTGATTAAAAGCTATTGTTATTATGGAAACTTAATTATATACTTAAATTCTCTTTACCTATTTATTTCTTAGTCAAAGGAGGCTCCTTAACACTATTTACTGTTGATTTTACGTAATTGGTCATTGGTTTCAACGATTGACAACTCGATAAAGCCGTAACAATATCGAATAGCAATATTGCCATTAGTACTCCCGGTAACGCTAACATTCGTGAAGTGATTAGCGGGCGACCCCGCCGACAATGTCTAGCACGCGTCGACCCTCGCCCCTTGTTTTCTCGGCGCTTTCCCGCGCTGTTTTTATCTCCGCCGTGTAACACTATACACGATATACCAGGCTCAGGTATATAAAGTCTATCTCGCGACGCCTTATCGTGGGGGAGCCTCCATCCGGTGTCGTGTTCTCTTTCAAGCACGCGCGGGGAAGCAACCCGCACAGAGAGAAATAATCGAGAGAGCGGGTATACGTTTTTTTCCCCTCACACAAGTGGTGCATATTCGTGATCGCGTGGTTGGGTCGGACAATGGATTCTGGGTGGTTTGGATGGACATCGTCGTTCCGCGCTGACCAGGCCGGGTCAGGGCTCCCCCCATTTTCTTTTTCTTCTTCTTTTTCTTCAACAATTTTTCCCAATCCCGAGTCGCTTCTCCGACGCGTTTTCGCGGTCTGACGGCAATCTCCTGCCGTCGCAAAGCCTGTCGGTTGCCGTCGCGGAAAAATTGCGTAAATAGCGTATAAAACGCGCTTAAAAAAAAAAAAAAAAAAAAAAAAAAATCCGCGTGAATCGGTTAATCGAACGCGAGAGCTAATTGTCGCCAACTCGGTGATCTGTTGTAGGTTACCCCCGGCCCGGCCTGATGCGCGCCGCCCCTATCGCGACGATCTCCTCGTCACGCTCGCTTCCCGAGGTCGCACGACTGGTGACCGCGGTTAGTCTCACCCGTTAAGACACAAATACAGAAAAAAGAGCGGAAGAGAACTCTGGTCGCTCCGTGAGCGGCCACTTAGAGAACATCATGACGACGATACCGATACTCAACATGAAGTTCGGCGAGCTCAAGGAGATCGTCTGGACGAAGCTGCAGGAGCCCAAGGCTCAGCGCAAGCTGATTCTCGTCATCGTCTCCGTGGCACTGCTGCTGGACAACATGTTGTACATGGTGATAGTGCCGATCATACCGGACTATCTCAAGTACGTGGGCGCGTTTGGACCGGAGGAGGAAACGACCAACAGCACCGATTCTCCTCCGGGCCATCACGGCCAGGACTCCGCTACCGGGATACTGTTCGCATCGAAGGCAATCGTGCAGTTGATGGTTAACCCATTTTCCGGCGCGTTGATCGACCGGATCGGCTACGACATACCTATGATGATCGGTCTTTGCATCATGTTCCTGTCAACCAGCGTGTTCGCGTGCGGCAAAAGCTATAGCGTGTTGTTCTTCGCGAGGAGTCTGCAGGGCGTCGGCTCCGCATTTGCCGACACCGCCGGTCTCGCCATGATCGCTGATCGTTTCACGGAGGAGTCAGAACGTTCGAAAGCACTCGGCATCGCCCTAGCATTTATTAGTTTTGGCTGTTTGGTCGCGCCGCCATTCGGCGGCGCCTTATATCAATTTGCCGGCAAGGAGGTGCCGTTCCTGATACTGGCGTTTGTCAGCTTAGCGGATGGCTTCATGCTGCTACTGGTGATGAAGCCTATCAAAGAGCAGTTACGGGAACGCCGCGAACAAGCGCCCAAGTCGACGATACCGATCTGGCGGTTGCTAATAGATCCGTACATTGCCGTATGCGCGGGCGCTCTGATGATGTCCAACGTCGCGCTGGCCTTCCTCGAGCCGACCATCTCGTTATGGATGGAAGATACAATGACTCACGATAACTGGAAGATCGGTATGATATGGTTACCGGCCTTCTTCCCGCACGTACTCGGCGTGGTAATCACCGTGAGGATGGCAAAGCAGTATCCGCAATATCAGTGGCTGATGGCGGCCGGCGGCCTCGCACTCGAAGGTCTCTGTTGCTTCATCATACCGTTCTCCACCTCGTACATAGTGCTGATGATACCGTTGTGCGGCATCTGCTTCGGCATCGCCCTTATTGACACCGCACTGCTACCCACGCTAGGCTACCTGGTAGATGTCAGATATGTATCGGTCTATGGCAGCATCTACGCGATTGCTGATATCTCGTATAGCGTAGCGTACGCGGTTGGTCCAATCATTGCTGGCGGCGTGGTCGAGGCAATCGGTTTCACCGCGCTCAACATCGGCATTGCCTTCTCGAATCTTCTTTACGCGCCGGTGCTCTATTATCTACGGCACATCTACGATTTCAAGCCGTTCCAAGATGAAGCGAACGTGCTGATGCAGGATCCACCCGACAAGGAATATCAGACGTATGTGCTACAGGAGCAACGGCCGATTAGCGGCGAGATCGGTAACCACCTGAATCAGACGCGCATGGAGACAAACGTCGACCAGGGCTACGATCAAAATTACCAGACGCCCACGCAGACCGGCTACGGCGGCTACGGCGCACAGAACGCGAACATTGGCTACGCTCAATCCGCGCACGAACAACCGCCAGTCTACAATCAACCGCCGGTTTACAATCAACCACCGGCAAGCTACGGTCAACCCGGCGACTACGGCCAGCAGAGAAATTACGCGGTCGACCAGGAGCGGGTGGGAGGTCAGGTCGATGTGAATCCCTTCAGAAGACAGCCGGATGTAGATCAACGACCGGCCGGAGATAGCAATCCCTTTAGGCAAGGAATGTATTAAGAGTCATGGCCGTCGCCGCCGGTGTCGTCCACGTATCCAACGATCGCTCGAAAGTGTGCGTTCGAGAGTCTTCGAGACAGGCTTCCACAACTTAACGGCAAAGAATTGACATCGTTGTAAGGCAGCTCGGCGAGATCCTCCTCAGGAGCGACGGCGATCGGGACTCTCGATCAGCCTGCGGGGGTTCGCCGCTCCGATCGCTTTGTCGGGGATGATACAGGGGCAACGACTTCCAGAGTGATTTTCTCGGACTGTCGCGGAAGGTCATCCTCGCGAATGGTGAATCCTGACGGTCCTAGGATCCGTTTCGTGTGCGGTATCGGCACAAAGAAGAGAAAGAGAGAAAATGAAAAACGTTTCTGATGGTGCAAGATATGTCGTTGAAAGACTGAGAAACGACGGTTGGTATAGAAAATACTTGCCGGAAATGAGAATAAGGACCTCGAGGAAGACGAGTAATCGCAACATCGAAATAAAATTAAAGTGAAAAGGAAGAGAAATGTATCGGTGCTATGGAAAAAAGATAAGAAAAAATAACATTCTACATCTAGGATGCGAGTCATTATATAAAGTGTAAGAGGAAAAGAAAAAGGGAGAGAGGATTCACGGCCGCAACGAAGGCTTCCCGTCAGCAAGGACCTTCGCTCGCGGATTGCCGCTGGGCAAGTTTTGAATTTTTATCGCTTTCGTTGAAAATTGTTCTACATTGCTGAACGGAAATATCATATCATTAATTAAGGCATCAGAGAAATATAGGAAGTAAGGCTTTAAGTTATAGATAGTCGATTATATAGAGGAGATTGTGACGAGGATGATCGAGGCTCGTTCCGCGAACC